CCCCCCAACACCCCCCACCAGCACACATGAGGTGCCTCACACAGCCCTGGGCAATGCCAGGAGTCAAGGAGCACCTTTGTCTCCCACAGGGCGCTGGACGTGTTGAAGGACTTTGCCCCAGGGGCTCAGCTACCCGTGCTGCTCTACAATGGTGAGCCCAAGACCGACACCGGCAACATCGAGGACTTCCTGGAGGAGCAGCTGAGGCCTCCCATGTCAGTGCCTGGTGCTGCCCTGAGAGGGGCAAAGGAAATACTGAAAAACTGTGGGGGGCAGGCGGGAGGGATCACAGCATCTGTGTCTGGCACCAGCTGTGCCCCTATCCCCACAGGTTTCCCAGCCTGGTCCCACGGTACAAAGAGTCGAGGTTGGCTGGGAATGATGTCTTCCACAAGTTCTCCACCTTCATCAAGAACCCGGTGCCTGCCCAGGATGAGGGTGAGGAGCTGGGGGGTACTCCCTGACATGCCACCCTGGCTCACCCCATGCAGCCTTTCATACGCCACCACCCCAGAGCCTGGCCAGGAAACTCCAGGCCTTTCCAGCCCTCCACTGCCCATGGTCACTGCTCCTGCCTCTCCAGGCACGAGCAAACATTCCCACCACACTGCCCGTTGCCCATGTGGCCTGGCACAGTTGTGCCAGGGCTCCCTAGGGTGGGCAGGGGAAGGTGCTCACAGTTTTTGCCCAGCCCAGACAAGGCAAGAACAGTGCAGGCAAATGCCACCTGGACACAAGGACATGGTGGTGGAGTAGGCAGGCTTTGGCCAGCAGCAAGTCACACCACAGGCATGGCAAAGCTGTTGGGGATGGTGCCAGCAGCGAGGCAATGCTGTGACACAGCTGGCTTTGCCCATCCTCCCTGCAGCGCTGCAGCGGAGCCTGCTGAAGGCTCTCCTGAAGCTGGACGGGTACCTGAATGCCCCCCTGGAGCATGAGCTGGCCCGTGACCCACGCCTCCCAGTCACCCAGCGCCGCTTCCTGGATGGCGACCAGCTCACATTAGCCGACTGCAACCTGCTGCCCAAGCTCAACATTGTTCAGGTGAGCGTGGACATCCTGAAGCCATGCCCTTTCCCTTGTCCCTGCTTCCCAGCACCCTCACCTCCACCCAGGTGCCAGCTCATCACTCCCCTGAAGCCATTCCCTGTCCCTTCACTCCTCTGTGCCAAACCCTGCATCACCCCCTGTTCACCACATCTGCCTGGCAACTCCCCTCTCTGCCCATCACCCAGCATGGGGTCTTCCTCCAGTCCTCGTTCCTCCTTGCATCCCCCGTGCAGAACCCGGGATGTCCCCTTACCCTGTGCCACCCCTCCCGGCTTGTTCCCATGAAAAGGGTCCCCCTGCCCCCAGCCACTGGGCCCTCCTTGGCACATCACTGGCATGCAGGGCCAGGCCAGGGCTCACCCTGTTTCTGCCCACAGGTCGTGTGCCAGCATTACCGCCACTTTGGGATCCCCAAGGACCTGCGGGGCGTGTGGCGCTATCTCAACAACGCCAAGGAAACTAAGGAGTTCAAATACACCTGCCCCAATGACGAGGAGATAGTGCAGGCCTATCGCTCCGTGGTCCGGCCTCCACAGTGAGCCGGGCACGTGCCCAGGTGGGCCCGGGGCCAGCGCTGGGCAGCAGCCGAGCCCCAGCCCCACCCCTGCCATGACCACTGCCGTCCTTCCTGCAAACTTAGGAGGGCAGAGGGCATGAGCTATGCCTTGGGCACCCAAACTCCCCAGCTGGCACCCCTGCATGAGGTGCCAGCAGCACGCTGCATTGCATCGAGCCCTCTAGCGGGCTCTCACTTCGTGTGTCACGCTCCCCTCCTGGCCAGAACCCCCTCAACCTGCCCTGCAACCCCCCAAGCATCAGGATTGGTGCCAGGGAGCCTTAGCTGAGAACGTCATCTATAACAAAACCAGGTAGTGCCCAGGGTAACAGCAGGAGCAGATCCTCACATAGAGAAGGAAAAGCTGCCCACAACAGAGGGCTACTGGGCCCAAGCACAGCTCTGACAGCAGCCATTCCTGCAGCCTCCCTTGGAGACGCACCATGCCACCCTCAGCATGTGTGACTCAGTGACAAGAGTCAGCAGCCATCACAGGATGCCAGTAAGGAGCAGCACAGGGTCAGGGGAACTGGCACAGCCATACAAAGTCCTGGGAACAGAGTCGGGGGGATGCAGAGGGTAGTGGACATGGCACCGTCCCAGCTCCCCGTGACCTGGGCTAGGGGAGCAGAGAACACTATCCTCCTAGAACCTGCTGTTAGGAAGCTCTTGGCAGCAGATTTGGGACAGGAATGGGGGCAAAGCAGGGAAAGTCCAAGCCATGTATCAGAGCACCTGGAAACCAATAAAAGCTTTGCAAGTGAGACATGAGCGTGTCCTATAGTGACCAGCCCCAGATCACAGTAGCTCTCCTCCCACAAAGGACTTTGCACAGGCCTCCTAGTGCTCCACCAGGGAGGGAGGCACCAGTGTCTAGCAAGGGCTGGGCCCACACTCCCAACTCCCCACGGAGTTAGAAGATCTAACCACTCACCCACCTGCCCACTGGCACAAAACTGGCAGGGAAATGACTTCTCTGAGCCCCTGACCCTTCAGATTCAGTCAAAATGGATCATAGGGTTGCAAAGCAATGAAAGGGAAGGCTGGACTGACACACAAACGCACTGCCACGCTGACCTGGTCTCCACAGACCGCTTGGCTAAAAGCAGCTTTATTGGCAATAAGTTAAGCACAGTCAGTCTTTTAATTACATCATGATACAAAAGTTCTTTAAAAAAAACCCTAATTCATGGCAAGTGGGGTACTTGGGTGGCCCTGCCAGCAGGGAAAGCAGTAGAGGCCCAGCACATCCAGGGTGCAGTAAAATCACTACCAGCCACAGATGTGGTTCAAAACCCTCCCTGTAGGACACTCATCAGGGGGATGGGACAGCAGAGGTCAGGAATCTTCGAAGTCCACTCCAGATGGTGCCTTCTTGCTAGAAGGGGATGGAGGGATGGTCGCAGGCTGTAATACCCAAAAGCTAACCTGAAGCCACGTACCCTGCTCCCACACAGCCATAGAGCAGAATCCACTGGAACTCCACGCAGTCCAGCTCCCGCCCCAGGTCTTGGAGCAGCACTTACCTTTTGAAACCAGGGTTAATGAGAGACTCTCCTGGGACTCTCCTCTTGGCTGGCAAAGTTGAGCTAGCACCTCTGTTCTTCCTGGGGCTCGGATCTGCTTCAGTCAGGGACAAGGAGGAAGGCAAGAGGTGCTGGTCAGCTGGTTGCTGTAATAGCCCCCTAAGCTCAGGGTGTGCTCCAGCTGCTCAGTTCAGCTAGCCCCAGCCCCGTGGTAGACAAGGGTCAAGCCTCATCTCATCTCACAAAGGGCCAGGAACCTATGGACCTGGCACAGCCTCCAGTTTGGAACAGCAGCAAGGTCTGAACTCATGGAGGCTAGTGAGGAACCCTGCCTGGTGATGTAAGGCATTGGAACTGAGCACAGCACCCCCCACGCACCCCCAGAGCCACTGTGCCGAGCCCTAAACTCTTCTGCACCAGGAAGGGCACCAGAAAAGCATGGGGTCAACAGCAGCCACAACAGAAGGGATTCACAGTGGTCTGGAGACCACATGGAAAGGGTAGCCAGCAGCCTCCTGGGGAAAAGAGGGCAAACAAACAGAGGGACCATGTTCTGGGAGTACATACTGGCCATTGCATACCTGGCATGAACAGCTGCTGGCTCCGGACAGTGTTCTTCTCAGGACTGCATGAAGACCCCAGAGTGCCCACTGCTGCTAAGAGGAGAACCAAAGTCAGAGCCAAAGCCAACACACCCTCAACACAGCACGCAGCATCCTCGGTCTCCCCAGCAACCCCCCCTACACGAGCCAAATAAAGCCACATTCTCTTCCCAGCACTTCCAGTCAGGTTGCCACTGCCCCAGGGTCTTCCTAGAGCTCTAAGAGACCTCTGCAAGGCAACTTCCGGGCACAAAAGAGATCATGGTGTGGTGGCAGTCATGGAAACAAGGTTGTGTTCCCATACATAGATGCAACGCTTTCTTCTGGTCCTACATAGATCTCTGCTGCCCAAGATGGTCAGGAAGAGAACCTGGCCAGCTTTGGGAACAGGCCAGTCCAAATGGGACAAGGGTAGTACCTCTGCTGCCCAGCTAATACTACCTGCATCCTGTCTTGCCAGTCTACCCAGAACTGTGAACAGAAACAACATGAGATGATACAAGGAGAATACAGCCTCCTAACTGCCACCTCACATGGTTCTCAGAGCTGGTTCACTTGAGGCAGCTTTGGTGGCAGAAAGACGATACCATGATACCATGAAGGTAGCTGGGAGCTTCCCACCTTTCTCCTACCCTCATCCTGCTCCAAAACCACGCACAGACCTTCGAGACGTTTCTCCAGGCTTTTGACGCAACCCACCAAGCTGAACATCAGTGCCTGGAGCTGGGTCCTCGCCTCAGTGAAGGGCAACTTGAAGAGATCAAAAGTTGAGCAACAGGCCTCTTCCTGGAGCTGCAGTGTGGCCTTGCTGTCATTGTCATGTAGGCTCAAGGAGACCACCCCACGCTCCAAGGCCTCCCTGTGTGGGCAGAAGAGTAGGGTGAGGCAAGGGTCTCCAAGCACCTCCACAGAGGAGCCTGAGTACCTGCAGCCGGTCATCAGGCCTGAGCACCCACCTGAGCTTTGTGCTGTGGTCCTCTGACAGGCACAGCGTGCTCTGAGATGTCTGAAAACAAAGAGCACTGCCTGAAAGGAAGGGGCCTTCCACACCTCCCTTCCCTAGGACACAGATTCAGGTCCCCATCACCTCCCCAGCTCCCAGCCACGGCCTTCCCCACCTCCCCGGACCCCACTCACCTTCTGGCACCCCACCCAGGGCCTTCCCCACCTCCCCGGACCCCAACCCACCTC